CTTTGCAATACACTTAATTTCCACAGTCACGCTACAACAAATGCTATAATTCACAACGAATGTCTCACGTGCTTGACTCAACAATACATCTCTCTGTGTCCACAGTTCAATTACCCATTACTTTGTTGCCATCAGTTCTTACCGGTTTATATATATAAGACTACCGCATATCTAGTAGGCTCTCGCGATTTCAGGAAAGGACGTGAACGTTCAAGAAGCGCATGATGTGTTACTAGCATCACATGACCTACACTGTCGTAACAGTATAGATTTGTAGTTAACAACAAACAATGATAATTTATAATAACATTAACCTAAATAACCTAACAATAATTGTTAGGTCTACCCCTTAGTAACTTTCAAGTAATTAATCTATGTTAACTGCTATCATAATGTATTCATTTTTGCCCAATTGTTTATGGTTCTCTGCAAATTAACATTTGCATCTATGACCAAGTTGGCAAAAAATGAAGTAAGTAAGTAAGTACTTTTGCAAAAAACAAAAAATAGTACACCCACTTTGGGATTTCAAGTAATAAAAAAAAGTCGATGTTATTGATGTTATATGTTGCTTTAACTTTGTTATAATGATTTTCTATCATTTGTATGTTTTAAATATTTGCAAATATTTTTTAATATTTGTACGTGCAGTCTACAAAAATAAGTTATACCTTTAATTGCATCAAAATCTGTTATCGATCAGTGATGAGAGATGTAAAAAAAAATATTCTAACATAATTTATAACATAAAAATTAGGTTATTGGTTTACAGTGCTTTCCTATTTAACACTCCCCCCCCCCAATAAGTTTATGGACTTACAGCATTAAAATCCAGGGTTTGATTCCCCCAAATAGACAGGGTGCACATAGCCCATTTAGTAGCTTTGCACTATGAAAGCAACAACAACGGCTTTCAGTGTTCAAAAACGCTTTCAACTTTTTGTATTTCCTTGTCCAGCTTGATTGAAAAGCTGTGATATTGAACAAAAGACTACCTGGGCAGTGACTTATGGAAGACAAAATACAGTGTGTATCCAATTTGGTTGAAATGTCACAGTAATGAATGAAGGCCTCCTGGGCAGTAACTTGTGATAGAAAAATGATTGTGTTTCATCATCCAACTTGGCTGAAAAGCCGTGATATTAAACAAAAGGCCTCCTAGGCAGTGACTCGTGAGAGATGAAAGATGGTGTGTTTCATTGTATAGCTTGGCTGATAGGCTTCTTGGGCAATAGCTTATGGTAGACAGGTCTGAAATACTGTATGATTTGAAATCTATGTGCCTGCATTTTCAATCCAAGGGTTCATGGGTAACACAAAACTCTCCCCATACTTTACAACTATTATGTGCTGTAGAAGTGACAGTCAAATCCTATTTTTTGGTCAGATAAAAGCTGTCCAAGAATTATTGGTAGATGTTGTTGACTAACCACTTTTCCTTTAGTCTGCTCGTTCAAAATTAGGAATGGTTATGTTCTTATGACTTGTGTGGCTTTGCACCGAAATTCTAAAAAAATATATTTAATTAATAAAGTGAGGGAACTGTGGGCAAAGGTCTTGCTAACAGTATAGAATTAATGTTTGTTTGTGACGCAAAAGGGGAAGGGTCATTTTTAATTCTCTGCATATATAACATGTATCAAGATGTTTAATTATAAGTAGAAATTAAGTTCAACTTCTGCACATGGTATTTATGTCTTTAATTTCCTTTTGTTTGAGCCACAGTTTTTCAAAAATATAATATGCTTGAGATGACATACAACTATATATTCTATTGATTAAAAAAAATTATTTTGTATTAAAAAGAAGGATTTGATCACTTATCTCCAGGTAGCATAACATGTATAAAGTAGTCACTGATAATATATTACAGAATAAACGATGTAGCAGATTTATTACTTTTGGTGTTGTATAAATAATTGAAAGTCCAGAAATCTTCATGTAGAGAATCATCTAATTTTTATTTCTTTTGTTTTTCCTCTTGAGATGTCTACATACCTCCACAATGTACAGACGATCCGCAGTTTGCAAGCTGTGATACCATAGTCCGAGTAAAGTACTGCACGAATCCTTACTATGGCAGATTCTGCTGTCGGTCCTGTAGGTTGGCAGGACAACTTCCACCAAAATTTACCTCACCTTTTGTGTAATAGTTTTCACTTTATTGAATTAAATTGTTTCTCTTAACTGTCTTTGACAAATTTAGTTCCCACAAAGCCTCTGTTTAGCTTAATCAATGATGTAAGTGTAGTGCCAGACTGTGGATGATCGTTGTATTAAAAATGTAGTTTTCCAGAAACTTAAATATGACATTTATTTGCGCATGATTAGTTTTAAAGTTTCTCTTTTTTTTTTGGTATGATTATTGATCTTGAGATTATAATGTATTGAGTTCAATAAACTCAACTTCTCACATTGGCTGAAATAAGTTTTTTTTTATTATCTCTAAAGTGAAGATTGTTTTTTTTTTACTAACTTTATTGCCAAAACTACACGTTTGTTTTGTTCAAAACTATAAGAGTACATTAATTTCTTAATATATATTTGTTGCTTAATAAAATTTGTATTTTTAAGCTATTTTATTTTCACTGTACCCTTGTGTTATATGTTTCTAAATACAGTTCATAATACTTGTGTGTTTTTGCAGTTTTTTATGAGTTCGTTATTCTTTAGTACATCTTTGTAATGGCTCATTTAACATAATTAATATAAGAATGTGCTGTTTTGACATTTGTTTGTTTACATAGAAGAGGAAATAAGTTGGCTTTGTGCAATCTTTATATGTTTAAGACATATATGTTATAAACAAATTATATAAAATTTATCCTTTTTATGAATTATGCTAGGTTTTTCTTGGTTTTGTTATAATAAAGTGATCAGTTGACGTGAAAAATACATATGATTAGATGGTATTTATGTTAGTTTTTGAAACAAATTATAGATTCATATTTGCGTGTAACATACTTTCCTGAAAACACTAAAACTGTTCATTTTAATGAAAATTGTCTTGATTATCTTGTATATTTGAGTGAATCACTGCTTTAGCATGAACCAGCAATATAGCAGATAAATTAAAACATTCAAACAGAAGAAACATTGCACTTTTTATAGATTTTGCTCTTTTTATGACCAAAAACTTTGTTAATAATAAAGATACCTAACTGGTGAAACAATGCATTCTAATCTTTATATATAAGAACAGTATATTTATACCCATTACCTGGTTGATTTTTATTTCTGATCTAAGTAGGTTGATATTAATTATGTTGGAATTAAGTTCTACCAAATTCTCTGATTGATTTCAGTGTTTGTGTTATAAGTAGCATTTTTTTTTTAGATGACAAAATATTTTACATTGCATATGATTTTATTTTTATATCCTTCGTTAGGATATGATCAGGATATGCAGTTAAAAAAAAACTTTTGTCATGCTCAAGACACTGGACATTCAGATTTGTATTTCCTAAGTTCACATTTATACATATGCTTTTTCTAAAACAATGTTAACTAGTGTAATTTGTAATATGAATTGTTCATGCATAACTAATACTTCCAGAAATCTATTATGTATAAATAGGAAACTTGGAAAAAAGGCCAATCATAACATAATACAAAACAGTTACTTGTATCTTTGTCTCATAATAGATCAAACGTTTAATAAGCAACTGAAATAACAGTGCAATACTTCAACTTGTGTTTAGATACTGTCTCAAAGAAATTAAACTGTAATGTAAAACATAGTTCATAAGTAATGGCTGTGCAAAATTTCATTTTGTACATATCAGTCATTGACTAAAGAGTCTTATATTGAAAGAGTTCAAACACAACTCTTATGTGAGAGTAGAGCCTTAAAGGGCTAAAATTATTTCCATCAATACACCTGTATCATTACCAAACTAGTATCAGTAAAAATATATTTTCAGAGTATTTATAATAATCCTGTAAGGTCTAGATATTGTGTATTGAATCTTTAATGGGCCAAATTTAGTAAATAATAAATTATTTTATTGAGTAAATGATGGCCACTGTCTAATTCTTTGTGTGCACATTTTATACACTTCCTTTTCTCCCGAAGTTTTCTGTTTATCTAAATGTAGATACAAACATTACATTTTTAACATGTTAAGATTAAACAGATTTAATAGATACATTCTTAAAATTTTCAATGAACTTATTAAATACAAGAGTATGGAAGAGTCAACATGAGGAAAACTGTGTTAAACATTCCTGGAATGAAAGCAGCACCTGAATAATTTACCACTTACATGTTCATAATTTTGTCAGATTTATTAGCTATAATAATGGCCTTTAAACTACTTACATGGTTTACAAAAATGTGTTTATAAAGTTAATTGGATGAATGTAGACTTCCATTGGTAGTTCTATGGTTAATTAGAAGAAGTGATAAGAAGAAGCTTAGATTTTCAACAGGAATAATATTTCTTGAATATAAAACTATCATTGTTACATGTAAAATTAATTGATATTCACAATATACAGTTACTCATGGTGTAGGATATCACATCTGAGGTCAACAAAGCATTGTAACTCTAATGACTAAAACTTTGTTTACTTTTCAGTTTTCTTTAAATATTGGCAGTTAGATTTTGAAGGAAAAAGTGAAAGATTCTGTTAAATCTTGGGTCGTTTGTTAATTTCCCGTATAATGTCTTCCCAACGAAACTTCGGCAATACAAGTCCTTTCTTAAATAGAACTAGTTTATTCTTTCTCAATACAACTTTGCAATACACTTAATTTCCACAGTCACTTTAACTTGAACACACGCTATAATTCACAACGATTCACGCACTTTACTTATGGTCACTACCACTCACTTGACTCAATTATCTGTCTCTATATCTGCAATTCAATTAATTATCTCCTTTTATTTGCCTGCTTATATACAGTAATAGAGGGTGTCTAGTAAATACTGGATTATTCGTGATGTTCCCCGATCCTTCTAGATACTCATTATGGAATGATACCAGATTGTATCTTATGGTTAACTTATTTATAAGTTTTGAATTTTCTATCATCTGTTATCGTTAACTCCAGTTTCTCATTGAAAATGTTTGTTTTTGGTCTCCAATCTGTCTTGATTTTAATCCTACCAATGTTGTGGACAATTTTCCATTTTTGTCATCATTATACTTAGTACATATTTCTCCATCATCACTGACACTTTCATAAATTAAACTGTTGTGGTTTCATGCTAGATGTGGGTGGTTGTCATTGGGTTTATGAGACTAGTGACTATAAAAGACTCTGAAAGTCAAGATTGTTATTCCATATGCCAGCATAGTGATTCAGTATAACCTCTCCAGTTTATGCATCTCTCTCATCATCCTTATTTTTTTGTGTTATTCAGTCTCTTTGTGATATCATTTTGCTTGTTTTCAATGGTTATGTTGACAGAACTGACCACTGCCAAGGGCTCCAAAGATCTGGGCTGTCATCTCCTCATAGGATGACCAATGTTGCAGCTTTTTTAACCATTATAAGTGCATAACTTTTTCATTTGTTGTCATGATCTTGATTTGAGTTTTTTTATTACTTCCATTAACGTTCTGGGTATGTTAACCAGATAATTGTCTTTTTAACATAGCTGTATCTAACATTTTGTTTAATCAATTCCTTTCTGTACTGATTTTCATTGGCTTTGCATGACTGGCAACTATCCTTGACTCTGAAGGTCAGGATTGTCATACTTTATTACCTGACCTAAACTCACAACCCTTGTAATTATTTCTATCATTTTATTCTTAGTCTCAACTCCAGTGTGTCCTTTATTTGTGCTAGTGTAAGAGAGATGATTCCTGATTCTTCACAACTTTTTGAGCTTTCTTTGCAAGCTTGAAGAATAGTTCTGGCAATTTTACTCCTCACCCCTGACTGTGATGGACATCACTTGTCCAGTTCTGAATTGTTGTTTTCTTCTATAAAGTTATGCAGGCATACCATGTGTTTTCTACTTTCTATACTGATGTACAATTAGTTTTTTTTTATTTTCATTTCTTAGTTTCAGCATTGTCATGGTGCCAATAATGCGGTTCAGAAAGTTGTTAAAATTACCTTGTTCTAGTTGCTTTATCTCTTTAATCCATTTAGTAGGTGACACCTTCACTGCCTTCAAAGATCTTTAAGTAATGTAAGAAGTAACCTGACAGTTGACATTGGAATACCCTTTGTTAGTTGATTATGACATTGACAGCCAACCAGTGCCATCAAGGAACAGAAGTCAAAAATTGATACCATTAATTTACACTGTACTTGTACCTGATGATGACAAAATCTTGTTGAAATGTTGTACATTTGCTGTTATGTTAAACTTATATTAAAGTT